TTACTGTCCGATATGCATTTTACACTTATACTGTTGAATAGTGTAATTACTGCATGCCAAAAAGACACAAGTGCATGAAATATTGGGAAATTTGAAATTCCAAACTGGCTTCAATTGGGCATTCAACAGCTTAGATGAAGTGAGAGCTTTTAAAGAAAGTGGGAGGCTTCTTAGGCATCTTTTTCTTTTCTTCAATTGTTATTGTTTTCCTAAGCAGAGCTTTTACTCTAAAGAATTTCCTGTTCAAGTATAATATCTCTTGCAATGCTGTTTCAATGCTGCTATTTGTGGTTTCCTGATTATTTTACGTATGAAGTATACATTTTTCCCTTTTGGAGGCTCATCTACATTACATAATATGTATTTAATACGAAATAATATTAATATATCTTGCTTGTAATGTGCAGGCTAAGGAAGATGAAGATAAGGCGGAGCTTGAAGCTCTGTTGCAAAACGGCAGTCGTGTAAAAGAAGGTAAATATTTTTTTTCTTTTCAGTGGAGTTAATATATATCCTATATAGTTTATGTAAAGCATATTAGAGGTTAAAGAGTTTTCCTGTATACTTTTTTGAATTTCTCTCAGTTATGTCATTAATCTCAAAATTGTTACATGGTTGAAAAATTGTAGCATGGTCTCAATTTGCCCAGAGAGTCTCTGGTGAATGGGATGGATTTGGAGCAGACTTCTCTAATGAAGGGAAGGCTATGGAATTACCAGATTTGGTAGTCCCTGAAGCATTTCGGGAGTGGGAGGTTAAGTTATTTGACTGGCAAACTCAATGTCCCACTCTTGCTGAATCAGAGGAGAACATTCTTATATACAAGGACATTCTGTTGGTTCCTACTGTTGGTTGTGAGGCCGATGCAGCCACAAGATACAAGGTGGATCAAAGGCAAGTGGGAGGAGTAAATGGTGGGGTTACTGCCTTTGCTTATCAATCCAGTGGATCTTATGTTGCTGTCTGGCAGAAAGAGGATGAACTTTTGGAGCTGGAATACTGCTTGATCAATCCTCAAGACTGTGAGTCACGTGTGAGGATCATTCAATTTGTCCGTGTTTTGGATCACACAAAGATGGTGCTGCAGAGAATCAAAGTATTTCGTGAGCATTGGTACGGACCATTTAGGAATGGTGAACAACTAGGAGGTTGTGCCATCCGTGACTCTGCATTTGCTTCTACTGATCCCATGACTGCTTCACAAGTCGCTGGTATTTGGCATGGGTCCAAATCTGTTGCCACAATTGGCACTTCAAATACTGTGAGTGCAAGGGTCTTCCCTTCTGCTTTTATTCTTCAAAACCTGGATTTTCTGGTTTCATTTCTGGCACATCTCCATTTGTATCTAAAGTATTTTTAGACAAGCGCCTATAAACCTCCATTTTTAAAGACCAGTTCTTCCAAGGCTGAAAAGAAAGAGCATTTCGTTCTAAAACTTTAGTTGTCAGGTGAATCAGATCAAAAGCAAGAAGTTGTTAAGTAAAAAGTGATGAAGAGGTTTACTATAATCTTTAGCATGCTTATCTGACTCTCGTTGGAACTTCATTTCAATTAAGAAATTTTTGCAGCAAAGAAACTCTAGACTATTTGGTCTTAGAGGATCTATGTCAAATCAAAGACCTCTTGACTCAAAACCTCAAGCTGTTAAGGCCTATGACTAGCTATAATCTCTATCAGTTTAAATGTCATTTCAAATATGACTCAAAAGCTTATCTCTTATTGTAATCTCCATCAATTTTCTTGTTATTTTAGGGGATCTTTCATGAACTTTCGGGTGACAACATTCAGAACTGTGTCAGAGATGGATGCGTTGAGATATTACTTCCTAAACAATTGTGGTGTTCATTTAAGCAAAACAAGGATGGTGAAGCTCTTAGTGAAGTGGGTTGGCTTCTAGATCATGGACAGGCAATCACATCAACTTGCCTATTTTCAAGCACTGCAAAGCCCAAGGCAAGTTACAAATATGTAGGTTCTTAAACATTTTAAGCATACGAATGACAGTTAAGGTGGTTCAACACTATTTTCTCTCAAGTAAAGTTTCGGATTCAAATCTAGTAAATAAAGGAAGTCATTATCGACTAAGTTGGTATGAGTGGTAGGAAATTTTACTACTTGAACAAGTGGTTGAGGGTTCAAATATTATTTCTTGTGTACGTAACAACTTAGCTGAGAAAGCTCTATCTTTGCTCTCAGTATCTTGAGAGAGACAATCTTTGCTGTGCTTACCAAAATAGAAAGTTGTTGTTGGATAGCTTTATGGTTATGTGGTTTGACCCAACTTGACTCATTGGTCTGAGGCTCTAATTGGATTTCCAAAAACTGATTTATGTATCCAAAATAAAAAATATAAGTACTAGCTTAATCATGGAGCACTTGGATCCTGAGTTCAATTAAGATATAATCTAAATAAGCTGTTATTATGATGTATTATTTTCCATGTCATTCATTATGTTAATTTTAATAAACAAATAAACATTTCAACTTGTTTGTTTCTTCCAACCATTCTCTTTCTGTTCTTGCTGCAGGAAATATCCATAGCATTAGAAACAAAAGGTTTGAAAGATGTGTAGCAGTGGTGGCAATCCATTCAGTTTCAGAATTCAGATCCATACCTTATTTACAGTGAACATTAGTCTTGGTTCAGCACTAGACAAGCTCAACCACATAAATGTTACCTTGAATTTCACTTAACTCTCACATAATGTATACAAGGTTCATTCACCTTATCCATCTATATAATATGTTCCCCATCACTTCTGAACTCTCTGTTTTATACGTGATTACATTGTGTCATAAATTTTCACTCTGTAATCGAAATTTTCAGGAGATTAATAATAGTGTGAAGATATGCTGGACAATGTTCAAGGTTCCTTTGTGCCTTCTTTGACTTAATTTTCATGTTGAATGGGCTTTTGACAGAAAAAATAGTTTTAGTGTAGTTTTTATGCATTTCCTGTCTTTTATATATATACTTTTTTAGTTCAATATTCTAAGGCACTTTTAATTGAAACACACCTTTCAATAAATTATTCAGTTGTTTTTAAAATTACACACTCTTTTTGTGTTTATCTTTATTTAATAAAGTATTTCAATTAGAAAACCTTATTAATTGTATTCCTAATTAAGGTTATTTTTGGAAAAATCTCATTAATTGCACTTTAAAAGACCTAAAATAATTTATATTTTGAATATCTTATTTAAGAAAAAATGTTTTATATTTTTTAATAGAATGAGTGTGTGTGTGTGTGTATATATATTAATAGATTAATATATTAATAGAAAAAATGGTTTTATTGTATTTTAACTTTTGTTGTTGGCTGTCATGCTTTTATTGGATTATATATATATGATGAATCCCATAGCATGGATGACATGGCATTAATGGCAATGAAATTTGAGGATGGCAAGAATGAGCATAGTGGCATGAAAGGAACTAAAGGCAAGGAGTAAGAAGTCCAACACTTTCAATACAACATGCCAAAAGATCCTTTACAATGTATTGGAGATTCAATGACAAGAGCTTGAATTAAAACCATGAAACAAACTTTGTTTAGTCTTGTGCAAAAAATTTAATAACTTGGAGAGCATTGAAGCACTTCTCTCAAGGCCAAAAGAGAGCATCTAAAAGTGTATAATGTGCTTAAAATCTAAATTCATGAAGTGTCAAACTAAGAAGTGCAAACTCTAGCCCAATACAAGGAAGATTACAAGCAAAGCCTCTTGCAAGTAAGGAGACATGAACCCCTAGTGAAGAGGTCAAAGATGGTGTGATTTTGAATCCCTCATAATACTTTGATTGTCTCCCTAATTGTTTTTTTAATTTAGTAATCCTTTGACTGGACTCCCTTTTTTTAGGAGTAAAACTAATTATAGTTTTCTATTTTGAGCATAGTTAAATATTATGATTAATTATATTATTTTTTAAATTTTATAATCTCATAATTTTAGGATCACATTTCTTAAATTATATGGTAATATTTTCTTTTATTTTATATTATTTTCATTCTCCTTTTAATATTAGGAAATTGTAATTAAAATTTTAGGAAATAGTCTTTATGAGTTTACATAAGTTAGGTGTGCTCTCTCTTGTAAATGGAAGAGAAGTTGAATAAAATTATTCATTTTAGAATTAATAAATTTGTGAGTCTTAGTACTTTGTAGTGGTATCCCGCGTAAGAAACAGACGTGATTAAGAGCGTGGTCAATTCTTGTGATGTTTTTGAAGATTGAAGTAGTATGATATGCATTTGCACAATTGGCAAAAGAATGATCTAAAATGATGGAAGCCCTATGTTTTTTTTTTCCCCTTGGTATATTATCCATATCCCAGTTGAGAAAGTCAAACCAAAATACAAACTTTGACTACGTGTCAAGCATTGACTTGTATTTTCTTGCGGAAAACGAGGTTATAAACATTTCAGATTTCAACATTCTAAATGAAACACGCAGAACTCTAATTGGATGATAGAATTTGACTTCTACATCCTTTTCCTGTCACACCAAAAAGATGCCCGAAAGCCAAGTCAACTTTGGATTTGAATCTTTTACAATGTTGACGGAGATCCTGCAATATTATTTTAAATAATTAACGATTAAAAATCTTTAATTATATATACAAATCTATATATTAAAAATGTAATGTATTTTTATCTTACCCCAATAAAATATTTAATTATTTTTAAACTTATAATATCTTTTTATATTTATATTTATTTAATAAAATATTTTACTTAAAAAATCTATAAAACCCGTTAATTATATTTAAAATATTAAATATATTAAAAATATCTTTTTTAAACATTTAACTTTTAACAAAAAATGCCTTTTGAGAACATCTTTTTTTATAAAAAAAAGTTGTAACCCTTCTTCCGCTCAGCACCACTATTTCCAGTGCTATGCTAAATCGCCTCTTAGAATTACGATTTTACCCTCCTTCAAATCCTGCTATCGTCGTCCCGATTCTGCTAACCTGGACGCTCTACCAGTCTCAAACATCCAAACGTTGTCACTTTCACGTGCAAGGGTATTTTGGTCAAATCAAAATCATCTTCTCATAGATAAATCGCGGGGGGTGGGTTGCGTGGGATTTCGATCGCTGAAGATTGGAGAGACTCAATTGTTTCATCCCAGACAGTAAAAATGGTTGCCACGGACAAGGTATTCTTTCTCCTTGCTTGTTGTTTCTTGGAAAAGTTAATTCTTTTTCTCGAGCAATATTTTTTTTTTTTCCCTGGTGAGCGTGCGGCCGAATGTTTTCTCTTCAATTTTTGATAGGCATTACCGATAATAGCTTACGGACCTTAGTTTAGGAAGAGCTCTATTATAGCTGTTTTAAACTTTGGTTAAGTATGGACATGTGAGGTTTGATTACGATAAACATACTGAAACCCTTACCGTGCTATACTGGAGATTAATTGATACGTTTCCTGGGTTTTCTGGACTCATACTGCATATTTGGTTTTAGATGGAAAAATTTTGAGAACTTGGGAGGACTATCTGGGCCTGGGTACTCTTTAATATCAGTGTTTGAAATGAATTCTCCATGATCAATTTTTCCGTCTTAGATTTCATCCTTTGATCCTATTAAACACCTCTGTCTAAAAATACTCAATAGATTTTGCTTTCACCCATTCTCTAGCTTGATGCAAAACTCAGAGAATTATTATTCATATGTATGTTATATCCATATCTAACATCCAAAACATATTTACTTCGTCTGAAAATACAACTTTATCCTTGGATTCTGGATGTTTCTCCTTTTGATGGATTTGGAAAAATATTTCCAACAACGCATGGAAGATCCTTTGTCTCAACTATTGAAAAGTTGATCATTATTCTATGTATGATGGGAGTAGGTTGAACTCTATATCATGTCTCTTAATCATGTAATCTCCTATGACTGATGGCTCTTAATGATTAGTTATTGTGATGAGTGTGGCGATATCATTAAATCAGTTAACTGAATTTTATTAATTGAGCATCAAGTTAGTCTGTTTTTATCTTGAAGTGTGTTGTATAGTGTTTACAAGATTCCACGAACTGGTTATCTAGAGTTCTGTACTTTTTTTAATTCAATTCTTGACTATGCTACTGTATTTCAATTTGCACCTTTTTTTATGTCCAGCTTGGGTTCAAATTTCCGGTTGGTTTGGGTTTTCATCTTTCATGGTTGCTAAACATTAGAGGAATCATTTTTCAAATTTCTTATCTCACAGGATCCTCGAGAGGAAGTTATTCAAGCATGGTATATGGATAGTTCTGATGCAGATCAGAGACTGCCACATCACAAAGAACCCAAGGAGTATGTATCATTGGACCAGCTTGCTGGTAAGCATCTCTGGAATATTTGCTTGTTCTATTTAGCTGCTGATTGAGAGTTTCACGCTACTCTAAATCATGTTGATGTTTCAGAACTTGGAGTTCTCAGCTGGCGATTAGATGCTGATAATCATGAGACAGACCCAGAGTTGAAAAAGATTCGGGAAGATCGTGGTTACAGCTACCAGGTCTGCTATATGTTATTTCATTTATAACAGCAAAGCCATACAAACTTTCCTGTGGTTAAAGTACCATAAGCAGAGAGTTCCTTTTCTATGACATGACATTATGCATGCCTGATGCATGGAAAATGTTAAAATGTCCTAATAAAACTAACAGTTTATTTCATTTGACACCCTTGCATCTACATAGCTCCTCTATTTTATGCTAAATAGAGGTGTGGATGGTTTTCCTGCGAACATCAAATTCCCTAGTTACCTCTATGGGAAATTCCCCAACTACCCCTTAATTCCCTTGCGACACTATGTGTGGGAAGCCATACTATTTGATTTTTTGGTTTTCTTTAACGGTTAAAATGATCTGTTGCTGTTGCTGGTGCCAAATATCTCAGTTTGACAATCGGCTATCTCTGTATTTGCACTGTCATTAAAACTGAGGTACATTACGTGCAGGATGTTTGTGAAGTTTGCCCAGAAAAATTGCCTAATTATGAAGAGAAGATCAAAAGCTTTTTTGAGGAGCATCTTCATACTGATGAGGAGATTCGGTACTGTGTTGCTGGAAGTGGTATGTACAGTACAGAGTCATGCTTTATTCTGACCTTTTAGTTCCCAACGACTTACCTCATTCAGTTGCTAATTTTTTACTCTATTGCTTAAGGTTATTTTGATGTCAGGGATCGCAATGATGCTTGGATTCGTGTATGGGTAAAGAAAGGAGGAATGATCATCTTGCCTGCTGGGATTTATCATCGCTTTACTCTGGATGAAAGCAACTATATCAAGGTATTGATTACATATGGACTTAGTTGTACTTAATTAGCATTTTATCAATGTGAAGATGTGTACCCCTTAACCTTTTTAGTTTATCCATCCCATCATGGGGGTTTAGCTTAATTTTCAAAGTACCTTACCTCAACACCCTGGGCCTTCTGGAAAGCATTTTTATTGTTGTGGTCTGGGGTCTTGGATATTAATAATTTTTAAAAAACAAATATCCAGTTGCCGAACTTTTTCTGAGTTGGGTTCGTGTAAAGTTTTTAACTTGAGATAGTTTATGTTGAAGATCACTGTGGTAGAACTTATCTAAACTTTACGTGGTAAAACTAGTCCTTTGGTCCGAAAACATACCAATATTATTCTCACGCGTAACTTCTCTAGCTCTTTCTGGTAATTCATGTTTAAGCATCACACTGAAATTTTAGATGGCAAACATGTCCATATTTCACTTCACTTGACTCATCTTTTCCTGGGGCCTATTAGGTGGAATTGTCAAATTTCTTACGCGATTATGAATTTGCAGGCTCTTCGATTCTTTGTTGGCGAACCAGTTTGGACTCCATACAATCGTCCTCACGATCATCTTCCTGCAAGGTATGATGATTGTACATACAAGTGATGGAAGGATAATCACATAGGAGACTTTGTACTTCATAGAGACTTACACGGGAGTTGAAATTTTGCAGAAAGGAATATATCAATTCTTTTGTGGAGAAGGATGTCGCAAACCATGCTGTTGATGCTACGGCCTAGAGATCTACTTCTGTTATTGGTCTAATTATAATAATTATAATTATAACTATAATTGGAATGAGTGTGAGAAGGCCTGAGCTTTTGCTGCTAAAAAAAATGTGGGCTCATTAAATAAAGATGCTTGCTTGATGTCTTGGCTCTGTTCGAGGGACATCTAGGAGTTGATAATGATACAATGTACAAAGTTTATGCTGTTGCTATTTCGCCACTCGCTGTATAATTAAGGATTGTCTTGGTGGTTGTTCCGAGTTATCCTCATTTTTATCTTCCAAGTTCATATGACCCGAAAAAAGATCATGATTAGTTCAGGTGAAGCATATTATATAAAATTTGAAATCAGGAAAAATAATTTTTTAATATCACCTTTAATGATCTAATTGGATAAATAGTGCGAATATTATTTTAATTTTCTCATACCACGTAATAATTTAGTAATAATATCTTCTAAGAATAACAATTGCAATAAAAATCCACCTAAGATAAATTTTATTTATAATAATTTATTTGTCGCAGGAGTAGTCCTCATCTTCCATTCTCCATCAATCTTTCATTCTCAGTGCCATCATCATGCTATAATATAATCAATTCTCTTATATTGTCTTGAAAAATATTTTTTATTTTTTTAATATTTTCAATAATATGTTTTCATAATTTTGGTAATTTTGATTTTTATATTTTTTATTTAAATTATTATATTTTTTCTTAAAGATATCAAATGATATACATATCATAAAACTCAAGTTTTTATTATCATTATATATCTAAACCTGCTTTTGCCTTAAACTAACCATTCAAATATGTTTAGTTTGTCAAACTGATTTTTTTTTAAAAAAATCCAAACATATATTATACTCTGTTCTGAGTTTATAAGATGATTTTAGAAGTGATTTGATATTTTAAAATATAAAATAATTTAATAAAAAATAAGATTTTATTTAAATATTTTTTTAATATTATCCTCCCATCTTTATTACGTTCTCTCTGTTGTTTTATAAACAAAATTTTTTATATTCTCTCTCTTTAAAATTATTAAATGAATGATATTTTTGCAATTTAAATTTTGTTTTGAGAAAAAAAAGATTATAAAATGTGTTGAATGAACTTTATTAGTACATATAATTTTTTTAAATTATCTTATAAACTAGGATAAAATATTATAGTAATTGACTATTATCTCAATTTCAATTTATAAACTTTAATTTGTAAAACATTTCAGTTTAGCAAGTATTAATCCAAACAAGTGCTGCTATGGTTTTTTTTTAATTCCATATATCCTGGAACTGGAAAATTGGAATATTATCACTATCTAGACTAATTTAAACTCTGATTATGTGGGATTACTATTATTAATCGTGGTCTTATAAGTATCTCAGGAATAATTTTAACATATTTATTTAATATGAATAGAGATTGTAAAACTTTAACCTTAAACTTTAGAATAAGTTGATTTAACTCCCATGTTGTAGGTAGTTTTTTTTCCCACCGTAGCACTATAACAATTCTTCTTCATGAGTTTAGATTCTCCGTTTCCAATTAATAAATAAAAATATAGCATATAATGGAGGAAAGGTAACAAAAATAGGTGGTAAACAAAAAGGTAAGGAGCACTTTCATGCTGTTAATTTTTTATATTTTTATTTAAAATACGTAATATATTATGATATAAAATTATGTCAAAATTGAATTAATTAAAAAATATTTAATCATTAATTAATCATCACCTAATTTTCTTGCCAACAGCTTCTGACTTAAAAAAAAAAAAAAAAACTATCTCCGAACAAGTTGTATAGTTAAATTGTTTGCACGTCCAGGTCAGAACAGCTCGTTGTTTGATTGGCTGGTGAAAGGTGGAGCTGTTTGCGTTTCACACGTAAGTCTTCTAAACGACATCGCCAAAGCAGGTAAAACCATCCTCACTGGCGTCGTTGCGGCGCCGAGGAAGCAACGTGCTCGAAATCGCAGTTTTTAAGATCCGAGAGGCACAAGAGCTAGAGCTACTGAAACTGAGTTGCTCGCCCCGATTTCGTGTGCTTATAATCTTCAATCGGGAAAAAGAGGGAATTTGATGGAAGAAACGAATAAGAGAAGCGCGAGGGTGTGTATGCTGTTGATCTGCTTGTTGCTGAGCTTTTTAGGTAGGATTGAATCGTTGTCTGTGACCGTAAACGACGTTGAGTGCGTGTATGAGTATGTGCTCTACGAGGGTGACACGGTTACTGGGAACTTTGTTGTCGTCGATCATGACATTTTCTGGAGCTCCGATCATCCCGGCATCGACTTGACGGTGAGTTCGATGTGCCTTTTTTTTTTATTGGTTCGCTTCCCTTTTTGCTCATCGTTTTTGTTTCCCTAGTTTTTTTTAATCAAATTATTTGTTGATCTGTGAATATTTTGTTGATTTGCGCTATTTTAAATGGTAGAAAGCCGTTTTGGCCTCATTTTTGTTTGGTAGAAAAATATGAAGATGATTTACGCATCTTGACACAAGTCGCATACTTTTTCTTTGATACCTCACCTAGAATAGTTGACATTACTGTTCTGAATAACAGTTCAAAGGTTCTGATACTTTGATATGCTGCTGATACAGAAATAAAGGCATGTCGAATAATGGTTCCAGTCCTGGAATTAGGGTTTTTGATTTGGTCAGATAGGAGTTTGCATATTTGTTTGATGGACTTAAACCTAGATTGAAATAAAACCCAAATATAATACTGTTTGATTAAATCAAAAGCCATGAACTTCATTCTGCGTCAGCTGCCTAGACAGTTTTATAGTTGCTAGTCAAGCGGATGAGTGTTACAACTTAATAGAGAATGGAGGGAAGACTGAAAAGGGAAGAGCAAGCTACACAGATAAAAAAGATTGGTCGGATAGATTCCTTAGTTCCTCGTCAAATCCAATATCTGATCAAAACTTCTCCGATTTCTCTGCAATATCCTTATCATTCTTGCTTTGGTTTTTCAATTATCTCCTATCCTCCGCTCCTGAAAGCTAGAAGTAGTATGTTGTACAATTTCTTCATCTTCCTGGATTTTTTTCAATATACCGCTTTGTTTCAGCCATAAAGGATTGAGATTGTGTGTCTAGACCCTTACTTGCTTTTCAACCGATTTCATCCTGGTTGACTCTGCCATCATTCCTATCACAGACCTGAAAGGGAAGAAGGGATATTCCACCAAAACAAAAAAGAGAAGAAGGGATAAGAGAAAGAGAATAAAGGGAGAGAGGATCAGAACCTGATTTTTTTCCCCTGGATGAATGTTTAATTCTCTAGCACTTGCTATTTTATTAGATCTTAAGATGAGTGTTTAACAGTAGTCTGGGCATTTGCTATTCTATTTTATTGTAACATATGCCATTTTTGTGGAAGTATGAAACGAAGTTGAAGATTTGAAGTTCTAATGTTTCTGAATAAAAAAGAGGCTGAAATCCTAATAAGCAACGGATTCCTTTCAGCCAGTTAGATAATTGAAGAGCAAAGAGCAGTCTATAATAACAGTAGGGAGTTTGATAAGCTATAGAATCCGATCTATGTCTTTGTAATATGGTTTGTGTTGCGTCATAAGTCATCGATGGCACCTTTAGATGATGTTGGAAATCTCTAATGAAACGTAGATCCAGACTTCCTTTCAGTCTCACTTAAGAGGATGATCAATGAATCTATGGCTGTTCCTCCTACTTTAAGAATGAGGTTGTAAGTAGAAAATACAACAGCAACAGAATAATGTCTTTGATCCATGTCACAAGGGATTGACAGAATTTTATATTGGCTATTGAGAGTCTAACACAATCTTTCCCTTTATCTTGCTGGGGACCTCTATGAAACATAGGTGGAATTAGGTTGGAAGTAGAAAATATAGTTGTTCATTCATTTGATGTATGAAAAACATTTTAGACAAGAACTTGGTAGATTTTCTTGTTTTGCTGGGTTAAATCACTGATACTTGGTGATGCATTAAAGGATCACCAGACCAGGATGTTTTTAAGAGTTATATAGTTATTGTGAACTCATCTGGTGCAAGAAAAAACTACCCCGACAAAGTCATCAGTAGTTGTGTTAAATAGATCTTATCATGGTGTCATGGTCTCTAGTTTTGAAGTTGCAGTGTACTGATGCACTAATGTAGTAATAAATCTAGCCCAGACGAGGATGCTTTTAAGAGTTATGAAATTATTGTTAACTTATTTCTTGCATAAACAATATCTGATTATAAATATTTGTTTTTGATAATTTTTTCCTTGTCATGCGCTCTTGTTTTGAAGCATTGACTAGACATGGCTTTCTGTGCATTGCACAAAACGTGAGGGATGAACCACACTATTTATGGTTATGAATAGTATGTCTTGCTATGGATATTTATTACATACTCCCTCAAGTCCTATATATAAAGCAAAGAGAGAAGGATTTTTTTGGTCTTATTTTCAAGTCATTATTGTTTTATTACAAGTTTTTCCTTTTATCCCCATTAAATTTTGGTGAGAGAAAGTATGCATATTAATAAGGGCAAAATTGAAAACTTATTAAATTTTAGACAAGAGTTAATGAGTTTTTAGTTATTTTTTTTGTTCTAATGAAACATGTTGGAAGTAACGTATAAATAGGATTAGAGGGAGTATATTGATATGTTGGCGTTTGCCTTGGTGTCATTTGTTTAAGATATATTGGAATTCTATTAATGTTTGCCTAAATTATAACTTCAGAAAAGACCAATAAATTGGTAAATTCTTTTTCTTCTATTGTATTATTATTGACTTTTAAATTGTGATGCTTGTTCTCCAAGTTCTTTTAAAATGAGAAGCGCTGGAGAATTTGGAACAAAGTCAGGCTGCAAAATAAAATGTAGAAAGTGATAACAGGTGGGAGGCTGGCGGGATGAGCTAATAAGGTCTAATGTGGATTGCTCATATTTGAATGGATGGCCTTGGTTTTCTTCACATAAAACGATTTATTTTCCTGTATTGTTCATTTTAAATGTCAATCCCTGAAGAGTATGGTTTAGAGACCATGCCAATGCCTTTGGTAACCTCTCTGCGCAGAAGTTTTTTGGAAAATTGTGTGCTCACAATGCTAGGAAGTAGATCAGGAGACGTTGTTGGTTTCTGATTTGCATGATCAAGTTGTAGATTAGTGTTCAATATTGGCTTTCAGAATGATCCACCTATTATTGTTTTATATGGTTCGCTTTTCAGTTATCCTAATTTTGTGGTAACCTACAGGTGACATCTCCTGGAGGTAACATAGTCCACACTATCAAAGG